GGCTCGGTTTATACGACTGCCATCTAATGTCCAGGGATGTGTGAGTGATGTCACTCTAACACCAGCCTATAATGTCTTTTTTTATTTCTAAAATCTACCAAACTATGTAGAATTAATGCTTGAGACACTACCTACTTTTGTACAAAATTCTACAAGTTGATTATAAACTATACACATTAATAGTTCCAGTAAATGGCATATATTGATGCCAACATTTGAACTGTTACGAAGTAACTACATCTAACAAACAAGTGGTAATACAAATGGACTTGTTTCCCATGTGTCTGTTGTAGATAAAGAAAGTTTATGGCAATTTTCCGCTTTGAATTGCAGTGTATGTCTAGCAGCGAATATGCTCTACTGCAATATACATACATTTTTTTCATAAATGAAGGACGTTAGAAAAGTGGAGACTGATACCACCTAAGTAATGGATTGCAAAACAAGTACATTACTTACTATATTCACCTAGGTTGTGTGGGTTCACAGTAAACAGAAAGAAAGCAATTTCAGAATAAAATAAATAATATACTGTTCCTACAATAAGTAAGTACCTAATGTTTCCTCACAATGAAATTTATACATCCCAATAAAACAACTTTCCCAGTAATTTTATCTGCAAGGATTTTAAACACTGTGCCTTATTTCAGACAGGACTGTTTGAGCACCTAAAACAATAATTCAGTACCAGTACAACAACAATAATTACTAAGAAATAATGTAAGAAGTTCCATTTCTGAAGTAATAATTTAATGTGATCAGAAATAAGTGAAAAGGCAAATTCTGCACCTTCTGAAATAAGAAAAGAAAAAAGATGGGGAAAAACTGAAATGATGTGATTATTTGAAAATAGAAAATGGTTCAGAGACCACAGAATTGCTGCTTGTTTGAAGCAAATCCAGAAATTAATTTAAGCAATCTCAACTTGTGCTGAATGTCTAATGTAATTGTCCGTATTTAAAGATGAAATTTAACACTTGTGTAACGAACTTGGTAAATGATCTGGTTGACCTTAATAAGCCTTGTTCTGAAACAAATCATTTTGTACAAATTTTAATAATGAGAGAGAGTACTGACATGTAAATTGTTATAATTTACCATAAATATAAGACAATGACAGTGCACTAGTAGATGAATTACAAGATCAGGAGAATTTTAATACCTCTTAAGGGAACAGAATTTTCCTGTTCTTGATATATGAGTGTTTACATTCAAGCAGACTGTTCCAATTGCTGTAGTACTAGGGAGATAAGCGGAGTTTCCTTTTTCATGACAGATATAAAACCACATATAGCTGAATGGATACCACTCCTGCTTCATATTTAGAAGGTCTGAGTTCAAATCTTGGCCCAGAGACTGGCCAGGCTTGTGGTTTTCTTCAGTCCCTCCAGGCAAATGCTGAGATACTACCTTAAATTAGGACATGATAATGTCCTTCCATATCCTTTTCAATTCATTAATCATCCTACCATCCTGGCCTATTTTGACATTGGAATTTGATGTTCATTTGTAAAGAACATAATTCACAAACAACACACTCATACTGATACTGAAAATCAAAAGGTCTGAGAATCTGTATTAGTTCCGGAACTGTCCCGCTACCACGCGAAATTTATCAAAAATGTATGAAATTCAGTTATAAAGAAACAGGTCAGCTATCACCACAAAGCCTTAATAACTTTGGATTCCTTTGAGGAGATACTTGAGTTGCAATCCACCTTAGTGATAATATGAGGCCTTACAAAGTATGAGTTTTTCAAGTCAGTTTTTTTTAATTCTATCAAGTTTCTGCATGTGATATGAATTAGTAAACAGGTGACAGAATATTTAAAACACTAAGAAGTAATGCACAAGTGTTTTCCAAATATTCTATACACACACACCCAATATCTGACAGTAAGTGTTTCATTTCAGTGATACATACTAACTGTGAGTACATGCCTACTTCTGAATGTTAACCAACTCTTTCCTCCAGCTTCTACCAGGCAGATTAATGATAAACTGCAAACTGAATGAACCTCAGTACACTGGATCCACAACATTAATCATATTTAATGTAGATGATATGAAATTAATGCACTGTTTTTAGCAGTGACAAAGACAAATAAAGAAACTGAGAATTGTATATTCTAACATTCTCAGCAGTTGTGCAGACAACATAAATTTCTCTATTTTTTTGTATACTCACATATTTTAATATACTGGTTTTAGAGAATGTCTTCTGAATTATATCTACCTCAGATATAAGATTCAGCACTGCTCATGTTCCTCCACCACAGTACAGAGCCTGTTATTTTTAAATGTACATTCTGCTCAAATAAGAATTATTTCTTTGGTGTGTCAGTGTGCAAATAACATAAGATACTTCCATCTCTGCCTTGTTACATAGATCTTACTTTACCACTGGAGTGAAATATAACTTATATAATGCTGAATATAAATCTAACTTAACCACCGCAAGATCTCACAATTCCAAATTTTTACTATGTAGAAAAAGAATTACAGTGGATGTAAGTAGCATCAAAGTAGGAACACATGCATGGATGACAGCAAAACCTGCAGTACAATTAGGATGCTCCATGCAGGTACTTACAATATAACATTATTCACCATGAGAAGAATGTCCTCATTTTTTAAGAAACATTCTGACCTTTTAAATATCAAATTGTAAGAAAGAGGAATGGAAACAACAGAAAATAATACAAGTAACATATCTTTCTGAGGTTTTCTTCAGTTGTGTTACTTTTGTTTCAGTTTCAATTCATTTAGCTGGATCTATAACATGTTTAGCTTCATTACGCCTTAAACTTATAGTAATGAAGATACACCGTTGTATTACATTTTACAAATTTTCATCTCATAAGTCAAGTGAATTTGGTATGAAATTTATAGAATACTTCTCAGCATAATGAGAAGGTAATGGTCTAGCTGTGTATACCTCTCTGAACTTGTTACAAAAAGAAAGTGTGAAGTTCAAATGGTCTACTTCGCAAACCGTAAGTGTACTGTAAAATTTTCCACCACGTGCAAGTTGTCCACTAGTCCTTATGTCCCAATTTCATATTCAAGACAAAGACAGCATATTTAAGATACAGCTTAAGGGTCCACAGGCAAATACAATAAGACTGTATTTACCATTATAGGTTGTGTACATTTTGTGATTACTTTTACTGGCGAATATATTCTTGCATTACCTTGTATCATCGATGCTTGATCGCTATTCACACCACCTCCCAGCAGAATTTGGTAAAGTATGTGCAGGCCTCAAAAGAAAATTAATAAATGGTTAAAGAATGAAACTACAAGAAAACCTTACATACTTTACAAGCAGCAAGGCACATACATAACTCATTACCTAGAAAGGCAGTAGAATATAAATAAGAACAACAACAACAAAGAGCCCAGATCTGACTTCAGTATGTCTGTCAATATATCATATCAAATTTAATACATCCACAATATCCCAATATATTTCACATCTAGTTCTTGAAATTTTTTCATAAAAAGAATCAACACATAACTGGAAGTCTGTTAACTACATCTGTATTTTAAAATTATAAAAAAATCTGAAATTTGTAAACATATCGATAATCTAGCATGACATCAAGCTCCACTTACCTTCACTAATTATTGCATAAAATGGAAAGAAAGACTATAATTTTTCTGGTATGTGGTAAAGAAATTATCGTACAAAATACAATTATATTTTGGGAATATGCATTCAAGTAGCCCAATATTTACTACAACAAGATGTTCAAATGTATTCTCAAAATGTCACTCAGTCCTAGGTTAGTGTTTCAAAAACAAACTGAAATACAATTTACTGTTATATTCCTAATCTGATTCCATACAAAACTGAATTTTTGTCACATCAGTTCAAGGGTTACTATAATGAAACCATAACACAACTCATAATCCTCGATGTAATATTATTATTTCATGTTTTTATTTTAAATTACAATGAAAACAATCCTAACTGTTATTTATTTAAACTCTGCCTTGCTAAAATAAATTCAGGCTCCTATGTAATTAGCCACACAACAGCCAATATGCTTATATGTGCTGGTAATAAAGATGAAATGAAAGGCAGCAATACCGAAAGAATCCCAAGGGAATCTGACTTGTAAACAGCTGTCCTCTAAGGGCCAAGCAGAGAAACCTAAATGAATCCTAGATCTTATAAACTCTAATTTAGAGATGGGACCATGCATAGTTGAGAACATTTTAGTTCTTCTCCCAGTACGTAATCTCTTCGATGTAAACAGAATATCATCCTTTATCATTTACAAGCATACATTTCTAAGAGTTCAAACGCTAAGACGCATTCTGTTGAACTAATAATCCTACGCTGCTCTTCAGCATGCTGTACTGGTAACAGACAATCGATATTAAATTGCACTAAGATAACATGTCTAGAATGTATAGCTTCAATTTCTATAGTAAATTATATTCTGTAATTGTAACTGTATTGATAGAATAAGGTAATTCCCTTTTGCAGGTCCGGCAGTATGCGGCAAGACGGCAGGAAACTGATTTTTGTAGTTTATTTTTTTATAAATGTCAACAGATGATAACTAACAGAAAGTTGATATGTCAGGTGGGATTAGGAAAAATTGTCCATGTGCTAAACTAAGTACCGCATCATGTGAACGTATGAAGGACTGGAGATATAGCTCCATACATTCTTAATTTCAGCTTTAGATGGAGGTAAGTGGTTAGCTTCATGCCTGTTGTGCTTTAATCCTAAGGAAAGAACCCTGGTACCAATTGGCTTGAGCTGAATGGACCCCAAAGCTAGAATGGATACTGTGGTAAAGAGAAAAATTCTGACCTACCAGATTTTAACTCCAGTTGCCCAACCCATAGCCTAGTCACTACACAATCTGAATTATCCCAACTCCTATTAGACATCACCACAAACAAAATATTGTCTCCACACGTTAAACGAGGAAAACAAATTTAAAAGAGAACAAGTTCCTGGAGTGTGTGATGCGTTATGCAAAGGAAAGTATTTCACCTCAAACTAGACATGTTGCGAGATGAGCACTGAAAATTCAAACAAAATGTGCAAGATAGATTGCATGGAATGCTAGTTTACACGCTGCAGTCTGCACTGCTGCAAAGTGGCTGGCAGGTGAATGGAAATAGGTACCAAGCTACCTGGATGTGATTATCTTAATATTGCTAGCATAAGTTCAATATTGTGCCATACTAAATGTGAACGTACATTCTGCCACTCTGTAATAATCACGTGCTTCATTTGCATGAAACAAATGACAAAATATTTAATCAAATTGCCTTCATATATATGTGTATGTGTGTTTTCTGCTAACTGCTTTTGCATTTTGTACTAACTAGATCATATGTTTGAGTTAATATTAGTCAGACAGACAAATGGAAATTTATTCACATTTCTAGAATAGTATCTTCATTTTGAAAAAGGCCCTTCCTAGCTCAGAAACGGAAGCCAAATGAACTGAACTTGAATATGTCTTCTAAAAGTTTTTGAAACAGAGTTGACTTTCATTCAGCATTATGTAGTAACAGAAATGTATACAAATCACGTTCATGATTCCAAAGGATGAGCTTAAAAAACAAGACAGTATTTTGAACACTGACTTCCTCCACTCATACTTTCAAAATGTATGGTAGTACCAATTTAACTGTCCAGTTCTAGGAACTAATTTTTTCACTGGTTGAGCCCCTGTCGTTTTTCTTCTTCCAACATGGCATCTAACTCATCCGTCAGGTTGGCAAGCATGTTCCCAATGTCATTTAACACATCAACTGGTTCCTGGCCTGTGGCTCTGTAATACATAAAACTGACTTAATGAACTAATGAATTTTGCAAAGGCATATATTATTTCCAATATACAAATTTTTTTCAAACTGTGTGGTGGTGGTGGTGGGTGTTGTTTTTTTTAAAAAAAAAAAGTTTAAAGCAATATTGGATAATAAGAAACGTTGTGATTTGTACAACTTGCCTCGTATTGTCACAACAGTACAATCTAGAAGCTACAGTGAACTGGGCATATAACTAGGATGGTGAGATGAGGAATATATACAGAATTTTGGTGCAGAAAGCTCTACAAAAACAGTTACTTGGAAGGCTGACAAGGAAATGGAAGGATTATCAATGAAATGGCTCTTTGGGATTTAGTTGTAATGGCTTGGTAACATGTCCAATAATGGGCTTTGGTATTTTTGAGGTTGAAATTTGGGTTCTGCTGCAGTATTAATTAAAACTTAAAATCTATCTAAAGTAAGGGAACTTTTGAGTTTTTTAAGGAGGCAAAAATGTGGAATGCGTGAGGAACACGTTGCATCGCCACCATCTTCCGGTAGATTATAGAATAATCTGTGACAGAATTTTATAAATCAATTACCTTTCTCTCAATGTTTTTTGACTAGCTGCAAGATCACCTGGAGAATGCTGGACTCGTTTTGGAGGCACATAATCTGAAACAAAATCCACAGTTCCACTAATGTGCTATCGCAATGACATGAATGTGACCTGTGCATAAGCAGGAGGATACTATAATGGATCTTACGTAAACAAAGCGGGAACATGTGGACTGAATTAATGTGGCTCAGGATAAGGAGTAGTGGTGGGCTTTTGTCAACATGGTAATGAACCTCCAGGTTCCATAAAAGGCAGTGAATTTCTTGGGTAACTGAGTGTCTTTCAGCTTATCAAGAAGAACTCTTCTCCATGGAGTGAGTTAGTTAGTCGACAGAGTGTGAGAGCGCTCTTGCGTGTATGTGTGCGCATGCACACTTGTGGAGGGGTTAGTAGACTTGAATGAGGGTGAATGGGTGTGTGTACAGTGTTACATTTTCTAGTCTCAAACATAAAACAAGAACCTATACATGTAATTGAACTAGCAGAATAAAGATGGTTGTCTTCTGATTTGCAGAACTGTGTAGTCTGGTAGAAGTCTTATCAAGTAACTCACTGCCCTGACGGAGGCAGCAAGGACCTCTAAAGTGTTGATAAACTTCTAGCAGACTATACTGTGCTACATACAACCCTGCACACAGCCAGATTCGGACTCATCACAATGAAAACGTTGAAATCATCCTTAGCAGAATAGATAGATGTTGGTCTGATGTCACAGTGAGCAGAATTCCTAAATAAAAATTCACTTCCTACAACAAAGAAAATATAATGTAACACTATTACAAAGACCAATTGATTAATGCTGTTTAAGAAAAAATAACATTACATCAAGAAAATGCTCTCATGCAAAGTGATTGTTAAAAAGTGTTTCACCCGAGTAAAAAGTGAAATGACGTGGCAATTTCTCATATAACCCCGAATATAAAATTTTATGGAAATCCATCTAGTCAGATGGGTGAATGGAGTGATTTTAATATGCACTCCATAAGGTTGCAAACACTCCTAAAAACTACAAGCAAGAAAGAAACCTCACCTGTCTTTGGGTAGTCCATGGTGGTGAGAGTGGGATGCGGTCGCACAGCGCGCTGCTTGATAGTTCCGGCATTCTCGTTGGCAAATGGCAGTGAATCTGATTCTGTGCTTGAGCTTGACTGTGAACACAAAATTTGCCATTGGATGTCAAGCACATTTAGAACAGAAATACAGAAATGGATTGTTTAAATGGGAGCCTGTTTTATATATAAATTCAAACATTTCTTTAGAAATCATCAGCATATCTTGTTAGTGACTGCTTTAACATAATACTTTACGTCATTCACATGATAAATTTTACTTAATTGCCGTGAAATAATTTTTCATCCCTACATCTGGAAGATACATTGCTCTTGTTTAGTCCACTTGTCTGCTTTTATATTGCATTGAATTAAAGATATTTTTATGATCATACAGAAAATGGAGCTTGCGACATAACATCTAGTTCTAAAAACGCAGACCCTGCCAATGTGGGACAAATGTGAATGAAGACAAAAAAGCCATAATTATGCATCCTTCTCAGGTGAAAGTTCCAACTTACATAATTAAAAATAATGGAAAATGTTCATTACTGCTTTATAAACATTATTTAATCTGCAATATACTTAAAAAATCCTATACACTGTCTGTGATTGTGTTATATAATTTCTTTTGCCCACTGCACTTCATATTATACTGTCACCAACCTTCATTACCCTTGCTTGTAAACCATAAGATAGAAAAACTGTCATGTATTCCAAATGTAATAAGTGCATGGCAATTTATACTTCTTTAGTATCTGGAAAAAGTGTTAGAAGACAATTAGTTGTACTAAAAAGCTGCAATATTCTAATTATGAGAATTGAATAATAACAAAAACAAAATTGCCTAAAGGATTCCATTTTCTGAAAGAGATGATGTGATATTTTACCAAAACAAACCTAATTTAACTCTTAACTACAATCAAAGGTATAATACATAGTAGCACTTTATAGCGGTGGATTTGCAAGAGCATTTAATCCAAAATATGTATTTTAAACCTTCATTATTATGGAGACCAGAGTTCTATCCCAGGTGACTTCGAAACTGAGACAAAAGTGAAATTGGAGATGCGTGGAACCGGCTGAGGATGACGTCCGAGGAAAATGCTGGTATGAGAAGTGTTGGATCTTTCCATTCTATTGCCAGAAGGTAGTCAGTTATCTATTAGGTAAAAGCACGTACTGATACGCATGTTAATTCATATTAAATGACCTTGTCACGATACATACCTTGAAGCTGGCATCAGACCCGTTGCGGCTCTGCTGCATGGCAAGGCTGGCAATGAGCTCTTGCTCCACATCTGAAGCACCTGTTGAATGCTGATCTAGTGTCCCAACGTCAGCAACATTACCCCATGACCGGCTCATTGTTGGTGGAGATGAGTTCAGTGACAAGCCTTCAAACTTCTCTCTGAGACTGCCACCTGCCGGTGGCGAGGAGGGTGCAGGAGGTGGGGGAAGAGGAAGGTCTTCATCTTCCGTGCCTGTTAGTTCATCACCACTCGGGTATGCTGGCAGAGAGAGGGATGGTGATGAGGCAGTTGAGTGAAGGTCTACTGTGACAACTGTAGTAGTTGCACTGCTTGTGCAAGAGGACGAAGCCTTTGGCACAGGACCACTGCAGTCTATAACAACATCAGATCTCCCTTGACCTTTGAGTTCTGATGGAAGATCTCCTGTACGTGATGACCGCCTCTTTGGCGGAGACGGTGGTCTTTTCTTTGGTGTGCAACAGGGACTCTCATTCCTAATTATAGCAGATATTGGTGGTACAGATTCTGATACGTAATGTCCACCACCTGTACCAGGATTGTACTGTTCTAGGTTATATTTACTGATATCTATCAGGTCTCTAGGCAAAGTCTTGTATGTGCCACAGAAAGATGATGGTTTTTCAAAATCAGGAATTATGAAAGTGGATCCATCATTTGTTGCGGGGCGTGTTTTGGCCGTGATTTTGGCTACGGGGCGTGGTCGGACTAGTCCGCGAGGGCGCGGCAGAGTTCCACCACCCTCATGAAGGGCCACAGCTGCTTCATTGGTGGGTGTGATATCTCCATCATCATAACTCCGGGGTCTCCAACCACCAGAAGGCATGGGTGTCAACTGGTGCTGCTGATAGTAGAAAGTTTGAGTATTATCAGCACTAAATGTGTGGTGTGTATGTTCAGTGCTGTCCTCTAAGCTCTCTAGAGATTTGCCCCTGCCTCCTCGAATCTGTAACAGCATAAGGGCATATAACATTATATATATATACACTATACTACATAAATAATATAACCCATTACATGAAAGTTATCTGTAATCAAATAGGAACTAATGAATAAACATATGTAGACATACTTTTTCTAATGTATTATTACCCTATAGCATGTGACACTCCTAAGACTAATCTGTGCAGTGATTTCTGTATATGTGCAACTGAATGTGACTGTTTAAGATCATCATCAGGCAATGCAATGCATTTTTATAAAAAAATACCATTTTTGTAAACAAAAGTTACAAAAAGTATGTAAACTGTGTTGTAGTATGACGATGCTTTATTGCTTTAGAAAACATTATCAACATGCATTTGTGTAAAAATATAACATGCAAAAAACTGCAGTAACACTCAATAGAAGAAAACATGTACAGCCCATTGTTATGCACAAATATGAAGCACAGTTGGCACTAATTAGAAATAAATGAGGGAACATACCACTAAAAATTCAGAAAATGAAAACTGTTCCCTACAGACTTATCAGACTATATAAATAAATGCAAGGGAACATTGGACACTGCACTCCTGTACAGGAATGTATGGATCCATTATTTAATTGTTAGTATTATGTTTAATGCAAACCCCTGCAAAAAATGAAAAGAAAATTACTTCTGTCTGTAATAAAACATATACCTTAATAAAGTAATATAATATAAGTACTTTTAATATGAGTTAATATGACTGTTCTGCTTCTGAAACCTGGCCAGAGCATAATATGTATTTCTTCTGAACTCAGAAGTGTGTGTGTGTGCGTGCGCGCACACATATATGAGCTTAAAGCAGCTAATCAATTTAAAGTCAACTCAACTGCTATGGCTGTGTGTAATCACTGCAGCTGAGTTGAATTTAAAGCCATAAGAAATAAATATTATCCTCTGTCAGATATAGAGTAGCAATCCTAACCTACAATTACAAGTAACTCTTAAAATTTTCATTTCTCTGAACGGTAATTAGAACAGTTTAGTTGGTACTACCATTTAAAATTCTGAGAAACAGTGAGTGATACAGCTATGGCTGAAAATCCAAAGATAGTCACCACATACACGGGCTCAAAAGACCAAAGCAAATTAAGAAATTTTATAAAAAGACTACAGGATTATGAACTAAACTGCAGCCAACAACACATAGGTACTGTAATTATGATTGAATATCACTAATTACTTGGCACTTCACTTTATACATTGATGAAGCAAGCAGATATCTGTCTATAATTACAATGTAGTGCAGCCTATAGAAACTGCAGTTCCCAGATCCCATATTGAAATATTTGGAAAATTTTCAGAAAATGATTTATACCAAAAGTTTTCAGGAATGGCAGTCATGCTGCAAGCACATGTAAAGTCAGAAGTTGAGAACTTTGAAGTGACCATCTGCAGTAAAGGTAAGTGGCAGGATGTTTTTTTACAGAACCAATTTGGTTACTTATTTATGGTTTATTTAATGACACTCAGTAGCTAAAAAACTATATAGTGTCAAATGATAGAATGATTAATGAATTGGAAAGAATATGGAAGGAAGCAGTCATGACCTAATGTAAGTTACCACCTGGACATTTACCTGAAAAACTGAGGAAAACTACTATAACCTAAAACAGGATAGCTGATCTCTGGTCCAAGATCTGAAGGTGGGGCCTTGCACATACAAAAAATTTGGCTATAATATTCAGTCCTTTAAATTATTTAATTATAAACTACATAAGACATAAAAATGCCTGTTCTGGTTTTGCAGTATACTGTCTTATTCAATCTACTGTCTTGTCACCAGTTTGGTTCTCTGTGAATTATAGCAAATTACACTGGGACTACCGAAGAGATAGAAAGCAAGACAGAGTGACTAACTGAGTGACTACCTTGATGGGGACAATGTCTGGACAGTACATAGGTTGGAAACTGAACGGTGATGGTGCTATGGTGGAAGTGGTCGTGCTAAAGGCATGGTGGTGATGCAGTAGGTGTTGGTGATGGTGGCTGTACGAAGACATTTGCTGGCTCCCCTCGACCTCCCACGGTTGGTGGAATGAGTGGAACGTCGTGTGCACATTCGGTGGGAAGCAATCGTCACCCTCATCGGGTGAATTCAAACCACCGCTGGGCGGAGTTGAGATCAACACCTCCTTGAAACAAATGGAATCAGAAAACAGCCACACATGCAGAAAATGAAACTAAAATCAAAATAAAATACTGGGTTTAGTTTTGTGACATACATATGCAGTTGCAATGTAAAGAAAACGCACGTAATTATACTTCACTAGAGCGTTGTTACCCTTATCCCTAATGCTTTGGGTACCACACATATTCTATGCTGAGTTTATGAGACAACAATGGCCATTACCCAACATGTACATGGTTTGGTATGTGTCATTACCGCTTTTATTTGGAAAGGCACAGGGACACTGACATTAACAACTTATCAGATTAACTGATTCTGAAGTTCCATCAAGGAAACTCCCATCTCCAAATTAAATAAGCTCTGCATAGAACAAACATGGCCAGCAAATAATTCTTTTAATAGGCGACTGCTACTGAAGCATCAATAAATCCAAACAATAAGCTGCAAGGACTGAATCCTATAGCTATTTAGTTCAAGTTACATTAACTTTAACCTAAGTTGGCTCAGACTTCTGGTTAAACATAATTAAAATTCACAGTTTCCCTTTAAGCATGTATGCTACAAACTATAAAAACAGCTTTGTGGTTTATTGTCTTTTTGTATACTTTGTAACAGGCCTAAATAACATCACTAGACCAGATTAATTAATCATGTCACCTCCGCACACAAAACTTTTAACGGCCTATGAAAACATATCCACATGCTTAAAAATTCAATGAGAAATTGCACTTCTTGGTAAAATGAGACATATTTTAGATACAGTCATAAAAGCTTAAACTGGACCTAGTGAAATGTTCTATAGGTCTACTATCTGTGAAAATTAAGTTTATGTTACGACAGCAATTGTTTAAAAAAAAAATTGTTTATATATTCTGCAAATATGCTTCAGATACTTTCATAACATGAACCAACCATGTTTCTCACAAAATTTATTTTGCAAATGCCTGCCATAATATCAGTACCTCAGCAGCATAATCATTCAACCATCAACCCGTTTAAAATAGAAATTTTGCTAGAATATGAAGCAAAAGTCTGTAATTGTTTAAGAAAAAGAAGAAAAAAACAGTCCCTTGCATTGCAACTGTATTACAAACTCTTTAAGCATGCTAACGATAAAAATAACGTAAAGAGAATCACAAATATGCAGCTTCTCTGGTATATAACAAACACTACGGGATTCAAATGTCAGTGAGGAGAGGTACCAATCATGTGTAAGCAGTGAAACCAAGCATGTGAATGGGAATTGGCACATTCCACTGAACAGACTTGTTTTGAAACATCGAACAATGAGGACAGCATGCAGTATGATCAGTATTTAAAATGCAACAACCTGTTCCAGTGCATTATTCCTAATAACTTACTTCATACTACTCGGATTATATTGTGAAGATGAGCTCTTAAAACCATTAATATTAAATATTTTGATAATACTTTCTGTTCCCCACATCCTTCAAACTACAAAATAAAATCTACTAATGTGACAATTAACAACTTGTTTCATCTAACGAAGGCAATGCACAACACCAGAATGATCTTGCATATGGACTCATATATCAAAAAATATTCCCTTTCGTTTCAAACACCATGTGTTGTGTATATTTAAAGCAAGCATTACGTCTTACACTTGGCCGATACAAAACAAAGAGGGAACTTGCACTTTTTGTCAACAAGTTTATGTATGTAAGAACATACGTACATTTATCCTCAGAAAATTCTTTAAAGTCTTTTTGGATCATAATATATGTTATCTGCGGATGCTTCTCCACTTATACATATATTTTTCTAATAATAAAGTAATAATACTTTTTGTATGTGAAAAACTGTGTACAAATAAAACTGAATCAGTGCTTGATGAGTATTAATTACATCCAGTTAAGTAACAAGACAGCAGATTTGAGAACCAAATTAAGAGTCAATATAATGCAAAAATCATATTTTGCCTCCATGAAAGTATAATATACAGATATCACCATCACTGTCATCATTATCATCATGTAACAGTCAAGGAGTCGTTGACTGATTCTAGCCTCAGCCATCCGAAGGTCTCTTTAAAGGTAATCTTTGGTTTCTTAATGTGGCTTTTATGTTTGTTATAGTTTGGTAACACTCTCTCTTTGCATTCTGTAGTAACAGTGATAACTGGATACGTAGTTTTTAATTTTTCATTAACCTGACAGAATTTTAACTTGCTATGACAACAAAATTGACTGACTGACAGGTAGAATGGCTGATTAAATAAGTGTGTCAATGAGTGGTACATAAAAAATAAAGAAGTGGAAGTTTGTACAGACTATTAGACATGTTTTCAGAACAAGAAAAACAGCATCGCATTAAATAATCATTTGCAGCAACAGTGCAGAAATAAACTATAAAAGCTTTAATTATTTAAAATACTGTCATCTCCTACTATAAACTGCGAAATGGGAGGGGGATTTGAAGATTGCCATTAAATGCTTCTTTGTCAAATAAAAATAAAATAAATAGAACTGATGTCATTGTTTTGTTGAAACTGAGAAAGTATGTTTCTTTAGGTGGTATACTTCTCAACAGCTTTCCCAGGGAGATGGCCCTCTACAAGAGAGCACGGGGGGGGGGGGCTGTTCAGCTACTCTCAACACTACTCAAATATGCTTCAGAACTGAAGTAGAAGCATACCTGTGTTTGTCCAGGGTGTGGGGGCAAGTTAGTAAGTACTATCTCTGTCCCCAGCTGCAGAGGAAACCTCTTGCCAGCTCGCACATCCTTCACTCTCTTGATGGCCAGTAGTATCTTTTTCTGGTGACCCAGCTTAACAATGCCTATGTCCTCCAGGTCTTCCCATGTGAGTTGTGTCACATCTTCTACTGTCTGGTAGCCTTGTTGGTGAAGCGCAGGGCCATATTCCTCTAGACGCAGCAGCCGCAGCCATTCCTCCATGGAGCCCTGTACGACAAAGATCCACATTTAAGATAAATCATCCACAAGTAAAATGGGCAAGGTTATGGTCACACTGAATCATTTCCCACTTCCTTACCAAATATAAAAATATGTTATTTACCACAAATTATTGTATTTATTTAAATAACTTCTTTATACTCATCTCTCTATTTTAAATTCTAAAACAGAATTCGGGAAACATGAAAGCACAGTAAAACATAATTATAATAAAATTCCATGAGACCTTAACATTTTTCTTTATTTCACACAAATCCTTATATCTAGATAAATAGTACTGCACTTCACATACATTGTGTATTTGTGTGTTTATTTGTGTAGAAAGCCCCTTCAAATTCAATATCTTAATCCCTCCTCTTTTTTCCTTTCCCTTACACCTTCTGTTCCTTCATCTCTTGCCTTCCTTTCTCATATGTTTCTTTCTTTTGTGTTATATTTAAAAACACATGACACAAACATACAGGAATCGAAAACTAATATAGTACTTCATAGCACAAAACTAAAACATTCTATATGTAAAATTAGCACTCAGAACATGCCAATCCAAGATACAACAATAAAAAATATCAGCCCTGACTATGTTCTCGTATATCACACGTGTGAGTGCAAGCAAGCTCGCCCACCCACAAACACTGTCTTTGATATAAAACAAAATTAAACTGAAATAAATAAGATGAGGGTCCCGCGCCGTAGCCGCGCGGTCTGAGGCATCATGCTTCGGAATGCGCGCTGGTTCGAGTATCGGGAGAGAAGAAATTTTCTCATGAGCTTTCGACCGGTGTATGGGACCGGTGCCAACCCAGCATCGTGAGGAAATTGGGGAGCTACGATGAGTAGCGTAATTCGGTCATGAAAGCTAGCGATGGCTGGGGGTTCGTCGTGCTGACCACACGTCACCCTGTATCTGGTTGGATGATCGTTCACCTCTGCTTAGGCATGTGAACGTGAGGCCAGCAGTCAAGCTAGTCGGCTTTGGCTCTCTGGAGCTGTTATGCCACAGATTTAATTTCTTTAAATAAGATGAGGAGGAGAATATGTAATAATGAGAATGATTTTATTACAAGACAACTCTCCTTGTGCAAAACATCAACAGATGATGATTTCCATTTTAAATATATGAATATTTATATCGGATCGGAAATTTCGTTCTTATACGATAGGCCAGGGAAGCGCTACTCTGAATCAATATGTTACCTAGATATAATAAGCGAGAAACATTTACTCACAGGAATGTAATCAGGAAGTCCATCAGAAATACTTAATTGAGCAATCTCAGCCTTTAACTTCTTTCGATGATTTGGTTTCTTTATGCCGATTGCTGTAAGATCCTGTGAAAAGAGACGTTTTCCATTACTACAGCAATGTTTCAGTAATAACATTATCATGGAAGATAAATTTACAACACAATGCTGCAGATGTTTAACATTCCAGGTAGAATTGTCTTATTTTCTTTATGCTCTAATGCTGTAGAAAAGAGACACAAATTCAACTGTTAATAATTTTCGTCTGTGACTAACAGTAAAGATTTTGTATGTTCCAAGATGTTTCTTTTGTGTAAAACAAAGGAATAATTCACAGGAATATGGTGTCTGTTAAGTTGGTTAAGTTTCTGACAGCCTTTGTAGTGATTACTCTTCTTGGATCACGTCAAAAATATATGATTTCTTTTAATGTTAGCATTCAATCGTGATTGCTAGCTTCCATGAAAATCTAAATAAACATTTTATGTATTCCTCATTAGATATACACCAAACAGAAAAATATTTCACAAAGTTCAGAAAATTTTGTATTTATATCATTAACACCTTGGCTGTATAAAAAATATATTTATATGTTTGTCCCATGACTGCAAAAGTGTAAAAAAGTCTTATTTTTTATACAATCACAAAACTGCATATGCACATAATTCCCTTCTCTATTATGAAGACTTTAATATAAAACAAGTGTTGAAATCTTGACTGTGTAATGCAATGGAAATCCCACAAACTGAGACATGCATCTACATAAAAGGTAAACAGAATGTGACAAAACCAAGATAATGTTCATCATGATTGCTACTTACTTCAGGAGTCATTCTACAGATAGTTGGCATGTCATAACCAGCTGAGGCAAACAATGGAAAATACTCCTCAAAGTGGAGATCCATCAGCCATGAGTGCAGCACATCCTGATCCTGAAATTGTGCGACATCCAAACTGAATTTTCAAACTCATATGCACTTTCTGGTGTGACTGGTATCATACAAACATCATGCCACACGGCTGGCATGTGCAGTATGTCCAGCCTCATTCACTCTGTTAAGAACCCTCCATGATTGCCTCTTCTTAGTAAGCGGCCCATCCACGTACGAGTCCGGCTCGGCTCGGGTTCCATTGAGCCAAACTCGTTTGTGGGTGGCGTATCACGAGCCGAGTTTGCTATGCATGCGTGGTGAAACATATCCGAGCCCGGCGCACGAGTCAAGCTCGCCGAACCAGACTCGTACGTGGATGGGCCGCTTAACCACTTCCAAGCGAAATATTCCATATATTTCTCCTTCCTTTTATACATGCTAGGGGACAGGATAGTGTCAATCACAGACCAGGGTTTGATCCCTAGCAGGATCAACAAAATTTTGTTATTCTAGCCCCTACATCCAGACCAGCTATGGGGCCCACCCAGCCTACTACCTAATGGGTGCTGGGAGTAATTTCCCTGGAGGTAAAGTGTGGCCAGGGCATGAAATTGACCACTCACCTCCATCTAGAGCTGAGTTCAAAAATGAGTAGGAGATATACCTCCTATCCCCAGAAGTGCCTCAATGGTATGCATGCTACATATCAAGTCAATTTCATCATCCTCGAAGAAAGCAAATTATGAACGTGGATACAAATATTTCCTCAGTAGTATTATTACTATGATTAATCAATTATAAACAAGGTTAATATATGGCCAACACACAAAGCAAGTGAGACTGCTACAAAGCTTGTTCTTTTATGATTCAAGAAGAAAAGGGGAAACAGGGTGGAGCCCATAGATTACAGGTGGTAGAAATAAATTAACTGTTGAAATACATATTGCAAATTAACATGTGATTTACAGTTTATGGGTGGAGTTAACAAAGGTGATAAAGAGTCAGTACAGACCTTGAACATATCTCCTAGTCACAACAACTACATAACAACTCAACTGGGAATGAACAGAAAACACTCAATACAGAACCAAGAAATTACTTCCTATTTTCACGATACTGCCACAAAATTATCAAGACTGGAAAGGTGTACGTACTCTTTGGAGCACACTCACATTTCAAAGATGTTCAGGTATCTAAAACCATTGTTGTGCAACAAGGTGTTCCAACATGGACTCTAGGTAATTCTAATGCTAACGCTATAACCATGACTGGTGAAGCACAGCGGCTGTCCAGGCCTGGTGGCCAAGGCAGGGGAGAAGTACCCTATGGGACAATAATCACTCAGTAGATTTCTGTCTTCTGGGTTGTTGCGATGTGTAGTCTGGTAGATGTTTAATAACGTTTCTGAGGTCATACTGCCTCCGTCATCAGGGCGATCAGGACGATGGATCGCCCTGATGACGGAGGCAGTATGACCTCTGAAACGTCGGTAAACATCGACCAGACTACACTGCGCAACAACCCAGAAGACAGTAATCTTCATACTCATCGCCCTGATGAAGGAGGCAGTATGACCTCTGAAACGTTGGTAAACATCGACCAGACTACACAGCGCAACAACCCAGAAGACAGAAATCTTCATACTCACTACATTATCAGGTTCTTAAAAAGGATCTCTGCTCCATGAAATTGGTTATTTAGAGGTAAGAGAGGATGGTACAGAGAAACTGGCTTGTCTTAAACTTAGTAAGTCAAATCCCTCTCCAAGATCACCGCATTCCTCTCATCAGTTTATTGGCAGTCAAGAATCTACTCACAGGCACTCCTTGATGCAGTAACCTTTCTGCCCGTGATGCTGGGCCACCGTGTTCAGACGAACCCAGAGATGACGATGATAGTGAGCAACGTGGGCTGGATGAGAGGCCGCCCATAGTAGTGCCGCTGCCCCGCGGGCCAGAAGGACCCAGAAGATGATACCCTGATGCTCGTCCACTGTCCAGACTTGCTGTGCTATGACGTGAGCCTGAGCCCGATCCAGAACCGGATGATCCAGGACTGTCTCGGCCAGGACTCTGCCAACACACATGTGAGTCCTTCATTAGAAAACAGTCCTCATTTTGTCAAGCACAGAATAAGTTTTCCTGTCTTTATTTCCCCACTAACTAACTAGATGGCTTAGGGAACATGACGGTTCATCACCGAATTAACCAAAGCCCTCCACTGGTCCCTGTCCTGAGCCAGCAAAATCCAATCACCCTTATTTCCCCACACTGTTTATAAACATGTGAAGACAAAAAAGTGAGCTTTTAAAAATTGGGTACTCGTGGGTTATCGGGACTCATCGCTTTAAAAATAGGTTAGGTTAGGTTAGGTTAATGTGTATGGATAAATGACATATACTTGAAAGTTATTATATTGACAACTAACCTAACCTATTTTTAAAGCGATATGTCCCGGTAACCCACTAGTACCAAAAATTGTAAAGACAACACATTATTAGTGTTTTAGGAAGGATTGTTTTTTCACACCTGTGAAATCTGCTTTTCTGACCTATTCTTCTGTGTTTAAGTGATAAGCTTACACATTAATATGCCATTGTGGTGAATCATAATGCTGATGCAATTGTGCAATGTGACCACTTACTTGGAGTCCTTTTGTTTAAAGGAACAGTGTCCCAACTGACCTGGGTCATGTCAATGCCCTGGTCCTCCTGAAGGGACAGCTGATGGTAGTAAGCTGCTCCCTTCCCTGCCGGATGCATCAGCTGAGTGTACTGTACTCCCTGAAAATGACAGACCAGAAACTTGATTTTCTGCACTAATTATTAATGCAAATGTTACACATAAAGCAATATAAAAGTTCCACTATGAATGCACAGCCTTTGTATTTTCAGTCAGTTTTCTTTTTTAATTTTTATAGCAGGGAAATTTTCTTTAACAGAAAAGGTATCAGACTGCTTAGGCCTGAAATAAAAGGTAGCTGTCTGTTTTGAGCTCTAGAATTAAATCTTATGTATATTTTCTATCTTGTTACCTTCACAATAATTAACAATAGTACAGCATGCAAAATACAGTTAACTGGAATTTTTCGCAAATATAATTTAAAGCATCCCTCACTTTCATGAGAGGATGTCGTATCTGCAGTTCAGTAATGGCTTAATGTCCGAGACTCGCTGGCACGAATTTGATTTTTGGACATAAAACACAAACCACTTTCAAGAACCATACATTACGCGTAATGGCCTCTTAAGACAAAATTTCAGTTCATGACAATAGGCCAGTATGTTTATTTACATATTTGTGATTTATTAACGACTCTGTCAGCAGCTCAGACAATACAGCACCCAATGACAGGAAGATGAATAAATAGTGAAGTGGATTGAAAAATAAGGAAAAGGTCATGGCTTAATACCTTGACATCTTGGAGAAGGGTCTGAGGAAAGTCATGAATCTCCTGTCAGGGTATCTATGATACGAAACCAGGACCTTCTGAATGAGAACTTATAAAGCTGCGACATCCGGTATCAGGCCTATGTGTCCTCATGACTTTCAGTACTTATAATTCACTCGGTAATCCTACAACGTTTAGAACGAAAGGCAAAATGTTAAAGAACAGGAACATAAAATCAATTTCCGAAAAGATCTTCTTCCAGGCCTTTCAAGTGCGTACAAGACGGAAAGAAAATAACTACCATTACACTCTGAGCCCTAGCCTTTCAGGAACATTCTCTCAGCCAGTTCTTCGATCCTTTTTCGACATCTGATAGATTCCTTCGATTGGGGATCGGCATGTCGCAGCGCCTCTGCCTCTACGGGCACACCCACAAACCATGTGACATACACGTGCCGCGGAAGAAAGATGACAGAAATAGAGAGAAGACAGCGAAAAAGGAGAAAGGGTCCTTTTTATGTATTCGAAGACAGACCACACCAGGAGAGAGAGAGAAGACAGGGAAAAAGGAGAAAGGGTCCCTCTTATGTATTCGAAGACAGACCACACCAGGCTAGGCAGGAGAACAGACGCGAAACAGCATACTGATCATAAGTATGGCCTACAGAAATATATATTCGGATTACAGGGCTCACAGACTGGAAGGCAGGTCTACCTGGAATATAAAACGGATAACAAAGACATGCACGTATTTCAGGTCACGGCAAAAGACAACATTTTAACAATTCGAACGCGATGTCCTACAATCTTCGTTGATATTATCAAATTATTATTATTACTGGTCCTGTTTCGTGTATCGGAAATCAAAACTGATAAAGGGCTGTAGGCATATTATTCATAGACAGTTTTGCTCGTATGGTCACAGGTCTGTTTGCATTTTTCTCTCTCGGGTACAAAATGTCTACAAACGAGTATCGTTTTCTGTACCTGAGGTCCTGGAAACGTGAATGCTGGATACGAAAACTGGGGTCCTGGAGACTTGCCACACATTCCATATATTTCGCCATGATCGCAGCCATCTGCAAAAGAGAAATACCATCACACACTTGCACGTAGAGAAACACATATGATGCCATTCCACGCTACGTACATTCTGTAATGGAAACGACGTCGTCAAATTAGTCGAAAATCGAATTCCTTTCATTCTCTTTCCTCTGCCGATTTTTTTTTCCTTTGAGAATGAGAGAAACAGCGAAATAAAGAGACCTATAAAAATGTTCAATTGAAAAAGTGTCGTTAAAATATCTCCGGAATCAAATCATCCACCTTCCTGTGATACCATCCTGTAAGTCATTAAATCAAATCACGTTCTCTTGCGACATCTCTTGTGAGAACAACTCACAGAATCCACAGACTGATCCAGACCGACATCTTAATGGAATTCACAGCTTTCAGATTTTCGAAAGAAGGGGGATTTTAGGCAGAACGAAATTTAGAACCAGAATATTTTGAACAGATACACATTATCATCGTTTCGGCAAATTAATTATCGGCACCCTCTCCGCGATGTCTCCTGAAGAACGGGTTCACAGATAGAACACTAGCCTTGTAATCCTTGGGTCCCGGGTTCAATTCCCGGTGGTGCTCAGATTTATAACTTGGGCAAGGCCGTGGTCTAGGCAACACGGAGTTTTCCTCCGTGGCATCCCAACAATTACTCCATTCACACACAGAAGAAGGCAATGGCAAACCACTTCGGGATCATCTGCCAAGAACGTATATGAACAGATCCCAGTCCGAGAAAAGGATGGAAGAATCCTGTTCATATGGACCTGTCGTCAGACAGAACACTAAAAATAAAAAATAAAAATAAATCTATTGTGATGAAATGTTTCCTGTACTTCGATTAACGACTGCACGTAGCTGCGTTAAGAGCAGTGGCTGTCTGTAATACAGTAATTAAAAATAATATGATGGTGTCAATAATTTGGTGTCTGTTTCAATCAGATCAACATTTTCTGAACACTGTAATATTTTCGTAGAAATGTTTCTCGAATCTGGACTGAAGCACACATGCCTCCACAACAAATTATGTCTTCTGACTCTTCAGCTGATAAAACCTCCGATGCTTCTGAACCAGTATGCAACGACATATCTAAATCCGAATGCCTTTCTTAAAGTTTAATATCAATCCACTGAGTACCGTAACGACAGTGAGACATTGCCAGGTCTTCTCATCTGATTTGACCTGCGTCGATGTCTCTCTGTTGGCCTCTTCCAGCCTCGATATTTTTCGTTTTCCATACATATAAAAGCCACTACACGTTATGATTTCACTGCGTGTGTGCTAAAAAGTCACGGAAAACGTGTGTATGCATGCAGGCCTGTGCCTGGATGATGTGCGTTTGTATTACTGTGATCTCAATATTTTGTTCCTTTGTGTAGTCGTTCTGGACTTAATATTACAAACATATATACCCCTGCATTCGCGAGCGATATATCCCTCAAATACTCACAAATGGCGAAATTTGCGAATATGACCACGGGCCTTATGTGGAAAGGATGTATCAGGCCTTGGCGTTGTCTTGTGAGCACGGTAACGAACCTTCAGGTTCTATAAAAGTGGCAAAACAAAGAGCTTTCATTCCCCGTCAACTTTGACAGGGCATATACACACACTGCCACGAAACAGGTTAAGTTGTCCAAAAGGAAGATGTTTCGTGGCCTGACCTGAAAAATGAATAGTAAAGAAGCAGCAGGTTTGAAGTCTGAAACAAGTGGGTGATGTATAGCCGGTCGGTTGTTATAACAGTAACGGCACTCTTGGCTGCAGCCAACTCAGAAAACAGGCCTCAGACACAGAACAATGCAAGGCCAAATCATTAGTGGCGGCAACTCAGCAGAATACAACATGAAAAACACTCTGAGCTACAAGGGATTAAGAAACATTTATTCTCATTGAAAAATATTGCTAACGTAACGGTTCTTTGCCCAAGTTTCTCTTAATATAAACTGATACAAAAGCAATTCTTTTTCTCCAAATCACTCATCTTTAATCGCTGTTTGCTACGCCAGCATCCTCCAACATTCATAATTTTAAAAACCTGTTAGTTACTGGCAACATTGAGGAGAGCGTCATTTTTTTTGGTCCTGTTTGGTGGGTCATAACTGTAACACAGAAAACGTCTTACAACGGAATCCCAAAGGGTCCACACACTTATAATTTACCTTTAATATTCAACTGTGTTAAAGAATGCATGAGCTCTTAAATTTAAAACATCGGAAATTGTGAAAGCGTGAGCTCGAATAGTTAAAAGTTGGAGGACATATTGAAAACTTCTGATTCATGTTCTTGTGGAAAAAGAAACGGTCCATACAGAATTCGTTTCCAGCGAGATCTGTTTCCTTTCTCAGATGCGTAAAATATTCCGATCATCACAGAAATAATTAAATAAAGAAATAAACAGAAGGAAGTTTATGAATTTTAGTATATATTTTAAATTCTAATTTCGAAACGTATTTTTGATAAAATTAGTGGTAAAAGACACAAGAACAACTAATAAAAATCAAATATATTCAATATCTCAAATAATAATAGTACACATATTGGTCAATAGGGTATGACGTAAACGGAAGTAAAGCGCAGGGATTGGATGATCCCGTCCTAGGCTACTTTGTACTTTAACAACCACAATATTTCACCTCTATCTGGGGTAAACTTCTACCAGTCTGGTATAACAACAACCCAGACCCGCCGCCTTGAAAACCTCGAAAAAGGATTCAACCTTATTAGGGAAGGAAACCCCATTCTCTTCGATACGCCACTGGTCGCCTGTCAAAGGACTGCAAGAGACAGTATAAACTTAAAGCACGCAACTTGAATCTCTTATCTGTAAACGTCCTCATACAAGGGACGATCAGTCCGACTTTACGGTTCCCTCCCGAGATAAAAAGAATATACCTCTACACTGTCTTATCTCAGCTTTCCACCACCTTCGATATTTCCACCCTACAAAGCAAATGCTATTGAAGGAGGCGGGAGAAAACGCCAAGGTACAAGACATGCTCAAATACGACTCAAAACCAAAACTTGTATCACGTTAGGTGTGACAAGGAGACGTAAGCTGTTGTGTTGCTGGTGGTTATTGCGTTGCGCAGTAAACAATCCTCAGCCCGCAGTTAACCAACGTCGTATCTTATTACCTCCCGGTAGGTTACACGTCATTTGAGTTACAAATCAATGAGGCGAAATTACTATCCGCGTCAGTTTTCTTGGTTGACTTAGTACGACGCGTTCTGCGCATGAGCAGCTCAGCTCTGCGGCCGAAAGTAACATTTCTCCCTTACGAGGTGCGATCGGAAAGTTTCAAGACTGTGTCAATAGAGGGCGAACCGGATGTAGCACGAGCTTCTGCCGCTAGGGGGTTCGGCCTACATTCATAGTGAATCAGTGTGCCAGCCGGCATCATCGAATTAGCATTTGTTTCTTAGTTACGGGCGTTTTGGTAGTGCATTACACCGACCCTCCTGCGATTTCGGAATGGCGGATTTTCATGAACAAA